ATTCTGTGTGAATTCTGTGAAAAATACTTTTGTCCTGTTTGGAATGATTTACTTGCATTATTCTTTGCCTTCTTTCTGCCTATACATTTTCATAACAAATAAGCATAATTTAAATAACCACACCTCAGACATCAATATCATTAATTGGAAATAGGTACTGTTGTGAGCTGTCTAATATTCTAATGTAAACACCTACAGGTAAACTTTTTCACAAAGTATCTGCTTCTCTAGGGATGATCTTTCAAGAAGCCCCCCACCTTTTATATCTTGTCACACAACTGGCTTCTTCCAGACTTTTCTAAATAGGATGGAGCCCAGGTGGCTGACACTTAGTTCACTTTAAAATCAGCACAAATTTTATTTTAGCAAAAGTTGTATTATCACTCAAATTAAAATTTTGTTCTCATGAAAAAGCATCATTATGATTTCCTCAAAATCAATTTCAAAAGTAGTGGGGGAAATTAAGTGTTTTAAGTACTGAGTTTTTCAATTACATATATATGTATATGTATATATAATTTCTTGGCTTCTAATAAGAAAGAAACAATTGCCAAGTTCTCTTTTAAATTGTGATTTCCTCAAGCATTTGAGAAAAAAAACTTATCTAAAAATAGCTTAGGATATAAACTCAACATCATGTTTACAACCTTCAAATATGAAGGTTTTTATATAATGGAAAATACTGAGAACAGTTAATGCTGTCAGCATTATACAACTTTTCCTGTTACTTCTAAAAATCTCTTCTGTAAAATAATGTCTCATCCAGACTTAAAGATTTTATTTTGCTTAAGAAGTCTACCCTTAAAAAAAACGGGTTAACCTAGTCTCTCTCATTCACATTGAGTCTTTATTTTTCAAGTCTACCTAAGATTAACTTATATCTCAAATTTTCTTGGAGGGTCCAAATTTTATTTCAGATTCTTTACCATAGATGAGATTGCTTTCTTTAAAATTCATGTGTTCATGTATTTCTGACCACTTACAAAGTTTGTTAGATCTTCTGAATTTAAAAGCAAAAACCAAACCAAAACTCAACTGCAATTTAACACAGAAAATAGATTTTCTTAAAAAGTACAGTTTGGAAAAAAAAAAAAAGATAGCCTGTAATAAGAGAGATTATAGACTGTTTCTAAAGATAAAACTTCATATTTCCAGAGAATTCTGAAGTTCCAAGGATTCCAACTGAGTATGTTAGTGAGACTGTCACTAAATTGGATTAGAAATGGAGATAAATTCCACCAATATTTGAAGTAGAAGGGTTGGAGCTGTTAATATAGTTTCTGGTTACAAGTATATCATTTTGAAACAGGTCTTATGTGTTTACATTTTGGTGGGTACACTAAAGTTTCTGAAAGACAATGTCCTTTGTGTCTGTTTTTCCTGTGTGTTTGGAGAAAGATATTTTAAAACAGCAACACATTAAAAAAATTTTTTTGCTCTCTAGATTTTAATGCTTCCATGTTAACTTCTAAGAATCACGGACCATTTTATCCAAAAATGTGATTTAAAGTGATATATTTTTCTCTGCATGAATTCATGACTCAATACGTAGGATGATTAGGCTATACAAGATAGGAAATTTGCTGGACAGAGCAGTAAAGTGGAAAAACATTAAGTTTAAGATGATATATGTTTTCAAAAAGAAAAACCGAGATGTGGAAATCAAACAAACAAGAAGTTTAAGGGCAGATGTGAGAAATTAGGCAAGATAAATCCTTGCATCCACAAAAAACAAAGCTGTATTGTCAAAGTCCTATCCAAAGATGAGGGCTATCAGAAATTGAGATGTGGCTGAAGAGGGCAACATACTAAGACGAGGCGAGAACACAGAAATGGTCTGCGGCGCTAAGCAGGGCTCTTGTGGGCAATTAGGTAGCTGTCAGTTTCACACAGCTTCTCCTTTAAGAAACACCACCCAGCCCTCAACTCCAGGCCTCCGTTCTCCAAGGGGACAGACCCCTCCCCGCCACTGCGCCTGTGCACTGCGGCCTGCAGGCTGGCTCTCCCGCCACCCTATCACTGCCATGCTTCCACAGTGGCTCAAGGTCTCTCGATGCAGTGCACAGTACAAACACATTCAAGGATCCTGCCAGATCCATGACACGCCGTTGGGCCAGGCTTCTGTTTTCTCTCTCCCACAGATGCTGCAGTTATTTCCAAAAACAGGGCCAGGCCAGCCCCTCACTCTCTCGATTTCCTGTGAAGATCCAGCCTAATGGTAGCAAGAGAGAAGCCCGGCTTCTGTCCCGAGTCGTGCCATAAATAGTATCTGATTACAGATGTCACCACTTAACATTTTCCTTTATGGTAAGGAAGAGAAAGGGCCCATTTCGAAAAGGAGGGAAAAAAAGTGAGTTGACGGAACAGATTGTGACAGATTTATTGGTATTTATCATGGTAAATATGTATTGATGAAAACATATAAATGTATTTATCCAGTCATAATCACTCCAAAAGAAACCTTTTATTATCCCCAATTTTTTATCTGTCATAAAAATATTCATAGATATTGAAGTAAGTTTTAGAAGCATCCTTTTATGGGATAAATAGTCATAATTTTATTTGAGGACTGAAGATACAGAGATACAGATCTACTGGAGCAAAAGTGTTATAGTATCTAATACAGATCATCTTTTTATATGAAACTGAAATATTTATTTTATTCAGTGATAAGGCATGTGGATTCTGTTATCAGTAATAAGCAATCCAATTCATATAACAAAGCTAATATAAACTGAGCTAAACTGCTATTAAAAGAGGGCTGAGATTTGTTGAAGTAATGACAATAAACAGATGACTAGATTCTAAAATCAACCAAACTGCCTTCTTCTTGCTTAAAGCAGACAAAGAAGCAGCAAAACAAAATTTTAGAATTACAAGGATAAAATTCTCATTTCAACTTAGTTTTCCTCCTTATCTTTCAAAAAGAGTTCTTTATGGAGCAAAATACCAAATATTCCTTAAGGACCATTAAAACATTTAGCTAACATAAATTCTCAAAGAAGAAGAAACCCTAAACTGACCATCAAAAGCCAAAAATTAAGTAATACAAATTTCCAACTACAGATTTTTGGGGAAGCAAGGAAAGACACTATTATAGTTCTGAACATATGACAACATATCAGTAACACAAAACTGTCTTAACAGCAAAGAAAAAACGATACCAGTAACATATTCTATAGTGGCCAGTTAGCTCTATGGAAAATACCTAAAAATTGACAATGAATTATGAGAAATTATTGTTGACAATGATTAAGTGGATAGATAATATCTAATGCCACACCAAAGCACTCCTTAGAAACTCTGCAAATTTCTGCATAATTTATTTCAGCATTGAAAAAAAATAAACTAAGTTAGTTTGAATATACATAAACAGTGTACTATCACTTTAACTTTTGCGTTGCTTTTACAGACAAGTTTATTCTATCATTTTGAAATATTCAAAGGTCCACTTATTGTATTTAATATGGTCCGTATTAGGTTCAGACATGTTTAAAATGTAAACAGCTGTGGTACTGTATCATTTGAAGTTGTCATAAAAGCTATTAAAAGCTAAAGTTTCATCTACATTAAATCCACCACAAATTTGAAGCTTAAAATATGGTTATAAAAACCTGAGAGGATGTTAGTCAATTTCAAGACAACACAGAAACACAAGAATAAAACCACTCAGTGTGTTTTTAATGACTTCCTGGTAGAGTCCAAAGTGACTATACTATACACCACTGGCAGTTTTATTTACACAATATTTTTCTATATTTATGGATAATTTTGTGATGCTTCTTCAACATTACTGAGTCTCTGATAATCAGCATACAAAATTTGTTTTTTCCCTGATAAGACTTATTTTGATATATTCACTTAATAATTTTTTGGATGAGCTGAACTGAAATCAAGTCAAATACACAGGTGTTTGGGTTAATCTAATCTTAGCACATTTGCAAAACCCATTATTCTTCTAATTTATTAAAAATGAAATAAAAACTAATATGCAAGCACTGATTGGTAATATTATTTTCAGAACTCTCAATATAATTTTATTTTAGAGTACAAGAACTTATGATAAGGCTCATTAGCATTCTTTTCAAAGAATACTAATGCTCTACAGAACACAGCATTAAATTAAAACTATATATATATAGAAATTTATCATAGGAGGGAAGGAACAACAAAAAGCAGGAGAAAGTAAGGAGGAAACAGGGAAAGAAGAGAAACTCATATTTTGATTCTACATAAGGGGGAAATTACTAGAAATGGACAGATCTAAACAAAATTAAATTATCTAGGAATTCAAATTTGAAAACATGTTTTCATATATATGAACATATATATGGATTGAAAATAAAACCTCAAGTATTTAACTGTGATCACAACCAACTTTTGTTATGCTGGCAACTGGAGAGACCCCCAGCAACCCCGGCTCAAAGCTCCAGGTATTAAAAAGACCCAGAATGCTTTTGGTTCCAGCTGGATTCTCCTAGTTACCACCTGGCATTCCAGACACAAATGGCCACCGAGGCAGCTACCTTCCCAGCCTTTATTCAGTGCCCTCTCTAGAAAATAGAGACATTCTCCCTGCACTCTGGGCTGAAACCCATGTAAATTTTTCCTAAATCCTCTCCACAAATCTCCTTTTGCATGCAAATCCATAAATCATCATAATACCGACAAAGAATTTAACCAACACATGAAACTAATACTCATTCTCCTGAAAGCTCTGAGCAGGTAAAACTCCTGGAACTTCAGGCACCTTTTCAAGGCTCTCTTCAGAGCTTAACCAGCTGAGTATCAACACACCCACCCTGTCTTCCAGGATGTGCAATTAATCACTCCAACATGGGTCAGGTGGCTGGGGGTGCAGGTCACTGCTACCTCATCCACATTCTAGATAAAACACGCAGCTCTGGCGGATGGGACCTCATTTACTCCTATCTCCTTGGCATCAATACAGAGCTGAACAAAATAAACAATATACAAAAGCAGAAACGAGCAGTACTTACTGAAGATGGCAAACCTGGAGGGACTTTTCGAACTTTCTTTGTCTGAACCTCTGAAAGAAAATGAGGAGGCTGTGAGGTTCCCTGTGTGCCCATTCTCCTAACTCAGACAGATTACACCACGAAGCCATTTAGAGTCAACCAGATTTTCTTAAATCGTTACTTTAGCAAAATGTCACTACCGCTACCATCTTTTTCCTCTGGCAGAAATCAACGTCTGCCTCGTTCATAAAAATGAAGAGATTTAACTTTTTAATGCTTTGGTTTTTAAAAGAGGTTCCTTAGCTGGGCGGCCAAGAGAAAACAAGAAATAAGCATACACCAAAATAGTTCTCCTGCTACTGTAAGTTGTTAACATACCCACTCAACATATTACTAGCGGCGGGGGGGGGGGGGGGGGGGGGAGGGGGGAGGGCGGCGAGGGGGGGCGATCATGAGCCCAAAGATTGAGCACAATTTTATGGGGCTTTTTTTGGTGTGGGGGGGGGGGTGGAGTGAGGATAGGTTGAGAGGATGGTATTAAGAAAGAAAGAAAAAGAAAGAAAAAGATTACTAATAATCACTCAGGCATTTAAAGAGAGGAATACCTTACCCAGGGCACTACCGTGAAGAGGCCTCCTTCGGGGGTTATTGCTAGAATATTGATAATACTGGGAACCAGGTTTGGTGGGCGAAAGGGTTCCTGGGTTGCCCATATCCATGTCACCTCCAAGGAGACTCTGCTAAAAGGTTAAAAAGGAAAAACAAACATATAAGGTTAAGTTTTGACATTTGCCACCCCCCTCACCAACTGATTGTTAGTACTTAAACCAATGCAATAAAGGAAACAGCATCTGCTAAAGCTGCAACAATTAAAACCCCACCCAGCAGAAAGGAAAAGAAAAGCCGTCTAAGAAGCTACTCCGAATTTGTGAATTTTTAGTTCTTTAACTTTGGAGAAGAAGGTAGACGGTGATGCTTGTTAAAAAAGATTTCCATCTTTTAAGACGAATGACATGTTCACCTTGTAAGTAAAGGGCATTTATGTCAGGTTAGAATTTTCTTGATCTAGAGTTAGGTTCATATCTGGGAACGAGTCATGTCCTTCCCTGAACAAGAACCAGGGAGAATCTGATTTTTCGGACCCATACAACTTCCCCCCACTGCTCACACTGGGGGAAGAGTATAGATGCTCACATCCACTGGGAACCCTGCCTCTCTGCGAGACCCTCCATGAATTCACACCGCACCCCTAGAAGACAGAATGCCATCTGAACCAGGAGGAAATTCAAAATGCTCACACTGACTTCCAAAATCATAGGAACAGTAGGCATCCTAAACCATCAGGAACACATTAAAGGACTTCAGAATACCCTCTTGAGGACTATCAGAAACTAAAACACATCCCCACAGATTAAACATTTACCTGAACACTAGAAAACTTTCCCAAATATCATTAACTTATCATGGCGTGACAAATCACTAAACTTCCGAAAATGATGACATACGAAAACTTAAATAATATGACAGTCTCTAAAAACTACATAGAAACTTACCCATAATATATAAATCGCCTGATTATACTCTGCATTGAACACATTGTTCTTTTAATTATTCGGATATGCAAGAAAACCAGTGTAGATACTACCATTTATATTAAGAACAAATTTACTATTAAATAAAGAAATTTTAAAATTAAGTACTAAAAAATCTAACTTTATCGTTACTTGTAATCAACTTTTACTGACTGAACTAATTACTGTCCTTGATAAAGTACAGAATGTGTTTTCCCTAATCTAAATTCTAATCATCATGTCACTCACAACAGACTTAGAGATGCTTCACTAACACACTATTCACATGCAAAATACTCTAAATAGGCCAATTATGACTCTGCCCCTGTTCCCCGGTTAACCCGCTGAGAACTGAAAAATTTCACAAGGCAGTCACCAACTCAAACAAAGGGTCCTTGTTTTAAATTAAGACAGTCTTTTTGATTCCTAAATAGCTCAACAAAGTGGCATGTCTTCTGGTGAAAGCAGTTGGTCAAATATGACCCATAAGCTGGAAAATCAAAAATTCAAACACCCCCTCTCCACCACCATATAGCTTAAATATCATAAAGAGAATCCCTCTATGCTGAGGGATTTTTGTCAGTGCTGGAGGAGTAATATATAAAGGACTAATCAGCTACTGACAAGCTTGCCTTCACTGCTTCCAGTTTAAGACTTTTCCAGTTTAAGACACATAATAAATGATACTTTAAAATTTTGAGGATGAGATTTTAGGACAGAAGGGCATTTTGAGTAAAAACTCATTTCAAATATCTTAATATTTACCAAACACCTGAGACGACCGGATCATTTACCAGACAGAAATTTGACATTCGCATATTCAATTACTGCCTCTTCCGAATTTAGGAAAGAAAACAAAATGCAAGCCAATGACAAACTAGAGAGCTCTTTACAATAGTTTCCAATAAATCAGGAAACCAACAGTGTAACATAAAAATTTTTTTAAATCACTTTAGGAGTGGCATTTAAAATTTTTAGAATATCAACCTGAAATTTCGCTCTTGATAAATAGATTTAAGTCCAAGTTTTCTTTGCAATTCCCATCAATAAAGCCGTAAATGATTTAAATCACAACCTCCTTACATTTTGGGAAATCTACAAATGAGGCTTCATTTCACTGGAAAGAGGAGTTTGAAGATGATCTTACTGGTAACTTCATAGGTTACATAGCACCCTTATTTCTGCAATTTTCTTTTCCTGAAATTATACAAAATATCCCCCAAAGGGCTGAGCGGGTAGGTTGAAATGCTTGCTTGTCTTTTTAATGAGCTTAACCATTGCTTAATTCTTGTTGGTCCTAGTGGCAAAGGTTTTCCCTCTCAAGAAAGTAGATGCATTCAATAGGTCAACATAAAAACAAACAGGCCGGCTGTACTGTGGGCAGTGTTCACAATAGAGCTGTGAAAAATATAAAATGATAACTAGATAGCTAACTGGCTGTAGCTGACCTCATTGTTGGTAATTTTAAAGAAAGGCATTTCATGGACCAGTTGTAAATAAATCAGGCATCCAGCTCTTACATGACACGAACTATGTATAGTGACACAGGACTGAGCAGACAGCACTTACAAACATTTAGCGGCTCCTGCTTTTTTTTTTTTTTTTTGGACAAAGCACATTCCTGTTTCTTTCTTTTTAGATATGTTTGTTCCTTTTTCTTTTTCACTCAGACAATAGAATCATTCTTCTAAAGCATACAAAAATAAGCATTTCCTCACACTTAAGGGAGGCCCTAATCACCCCCCAAGGGAAAAATTAAGATAAAAATACGTGTGTTCTTATTGTAGAGGACATTTGTAAAATGAACAATGACCATTTACTATTGTTTGGCCTTTACGTCACGTACTTAACTCTCTTTAGCCATGAGAAAGATAAAAAAATTTTTTTCCATTGGCTGGAAACCTGAGTTTGTGCATTTTAAAAACTTAATGCCATTCAACTGAGTAAGGTAAAATATTGCACAAAATGAATAAAGCATTCCTTTACATATGAATTTACCTACATGTATACATATACATTTATCTGTGCATATACTCTTAATACATACATATAAACATATGCTATACATCTGAAGACAAATTTATACTTAACAAAAGTGCAAAAGCTTAAGTCTACTTTCAAAATGGGCAAATTCATCTTTGCTTAAATAGGATTATAGAGGTTTTAGGTTTTTTGAATTGTGCAAGCTCATGCTCTGCGGTTACGCTGGGTCCCAGTAGAGAGCCACGCTGGTCTGCCAGGAAACACTGGAAGCAAGATGTGGCATCTCGCAGAGCTAACCTGTAAATCTTAAAGCCAGAGTTGAGCATTTGTTTTAACTGCCTGCAAAGTGATGCGACCATCTCTTCCCCTTATTTGCTCCTTATTTTCGTCCAAAGACCAACCATTTTAAGAGTTAAAATACCCTAACCAAAGGATAAAATGTAGTGACAGAGTCAGCCCAATTTAAATACTGACCGGGGGTGGGGGGGGGGCGCGGTTCGTCCATCCTCTGCAATCAAAGACCCTGGGTCTGCAAAGACCCAGGCCCAACAGAGCCACTCAAATGCCAAAAGCAGCGATTCTGTAAGGGGCCTTTCAAAGAAAGTTTTTGTTTGTTTCACATCAGAGCTGGGTCTCCGACTATCTTTCTAGCACATTCTCAACCTTGCTCCCCACTGCCTTTGTGGGGAGCTTTTTTAACATCCTTGATAAACCACCAAACTTTGCTTATGCAACCAAGAAGACAAACCATGAATTAAAACGTGGGTAACAGAAAGGCAGCATATATCTCAAATTAGATTTATAACTGAATGGTAATCAAAAATAGAACTAACTGCTTCAAGCTTAAATTATCAACTTTTTTCTTGTTAAACTAAAATCATCTTGCACTGAACTATTATTTCATTTCAGTCAGCACTTTAAATGTAATGGGTGGGTGGTACATTTCTAAAAAGGAAGATTATATTTACCCTTAATTATAGATATGAGTGAGATCAGAGTATGATGAATGCTGATTTTTTGGCTTATAATTAATTCATCTAATAGGTGAATGACCTTGAATTTCAGAGCTGAAATCTGGAAGAGAGAGGGAAAAAAAAAGTAGGAGGGGGAAAAAAAAAATCTCTGGGGAAAATCAAAAGTGCCCCTGGTTTCTTAGGGCTTTTTCTGATTTTGCGTCACTCCCATTACGTTGTGATCCGATATCAGACACAACATCTTGGGGGGATGTTAGAGAACAGAGAAAAGCAGTCTCAGATGAAACCAGATTAAGCTCCTTTTCTGAACTATTGCCAAATGCTTGTGAGTCTAATTCATGTTTGGGTATTCTAGTACTGACACAGCTGCAATTCCATTCTTTCCTCACAAACCTAAGTGATGTATAGTGGCTTTGTATGGTGAACTGACTCTTTATAGCCAGGAATTTTAGAAGGCTTTACGTTAACACGGAAATAAAATTCTGAACCACTCTAAAACTTACAAATGAGGGATGCATGTAGACGGATCTAATAGACTCAAGTGCCAAATGCAAAATTCACATTGAGAAAAATTATAAATTAGATTTTTTTTAAAGACTTGAAGGAAATTCACAACTGAGGTCATTTGTACACAGTTCATTCTGCACAGAATCGGGTTTTTGAAGACACTGCTGAATAAAGATTCCTAACAGCCATGGGGAAGTTTTTGCAAATCTCTGTCAAATAGCTGCTGCTGAATTTGCCATTCTGACCACAGAAGGGCCATTGCTGACTTTCTACAGTAGCAGGAGGGGATGATAATTTTGCTGCTGTTGGCACTTACTCCGAAACCCAGAATATATCTTGCACCAAAGGGCAATGAAGAACACTGTATTTCCACCTGTCCACTTTTGAACTGCAAAGCTCAAAACTGAAGGTCAGGTTCTGGACAGCCTTTATTCCTCACACCTGAAGGTCTAGGAATGCACCTTTAGTAGTTTCCTTTGATCTCGGTCTTATGCTTGGTTTCAACAAAAGAGGACTTGGGAAACTTAGAAAGGTAGGATGGCAAGGACAACTTTTGTAATCAGGGACTTAACATATTGCTATTGTGCTGGAGAGAAATGAAAATTATTGAAATTATTCTTTAGCAAAGATTTTCTTTAAAGGACTTGGGTCGATGTTTGTCATTTCTACTTGAAAAGTATAATGCCCATTGTAACAAGTCAGAAG